TACTACTACTACTACTCCTATTGCTGACTGCTGACTGCTGACTGCTGGCTGCTGGCTGCTGGCTGCTGACTGCTGACTGCTGACTGCTGACGACTACTACTCCTACTCCTCGTCCTACCCCTGCTCTCCTCCTCCTCCTCTTTACTCTTGCTGCGGCTTCTGCTTCTAGCAGTATGACTAGCATTCTACTTACAATCATGATGTCACGGGAGCCATGCCACCCGCTGACGACCATCACCAGCAACATGCGTGATGCAAGAATCGCAGTCACAATGACCTGCCATGCCCTGCTTTAACTTCCTTACGGTCATTGTTGGTCCAATCATCCTAGCCGGGATTAAACCCAGATATATCTGACAGAACTTTTCGCAGTAATAATACTCTGAATAACAATGGCCACCATCATCTTGATTGACTTACGGCGCCACAACAGAACCGCCCGCTGCGATGGTGACGACACTGCCGACACAAAAGATGCCCACTGCCACACCAGAACCCCTGTCAGCAAGTGCAACACCGCGAACATCTCCACCAGCAACAGAATCGCGACCACCACTGCCAACAACGGCAACATACTATCTCGAGCTTCTTTAACTTCGAAGCCATAACTTCCGTGCCGGGGTTTAGCTTCATTCCTGTACGCTGTATGTATTTTTTGTTTTTGAGCACTGTGTGCCAGTTGACAGACTTCCAGCCACAAAGGCCTAGCGGAAACTTTCGACATCCCCAAACCCAGCGGCACCCGACAAGCTGCACACTCCTAATTCTTATTTCTGCCACCTCGGTGAAGCAGCCATATGGTAAACCTCACTATGCATCCGAAGGATCACTCACCCAGTAACCCGAACTCGAAACTTAAACCCGACATGTTACAACCCCAATGAACCGGAAATGCAGCGAGGAGCTTTCCAGCGGCGGCGCGGCCTTGGCTTTCGCCGGAGCGGGTGCCTCGGATTGCCGCGTCTACGGTTCAGGTTTCGACTCTCAAAGCTTCCGATTCAGTGCTGTGGATCCACCTGGACTACGAGATACTACAACTGAGTCATAAGTATTTGGCTTCTGTATCTTCCGGAGACGGGCTGATGCTCGGTTCTTGAAGTTCAGGAATTCGATAGGTTTCGACTCACACACTCGCGCGAGGTAGGCATTGGCTTCACGACCTCCGAGCTCAATAGCTGGCGACCGGCTGATCTGGTCCGGTAGCGCTCAGCTCAGAACCTCTTCTCAACCAGCTCTTCTCGCTGAAGACACGCCCCGTTGCCAAGCACAAAGCCTGTTCCGGCCAAATCTTGGCGATCGTAAATTGGCCACCCTGCAAACCTGGACAATAATATCGTGGAATGGACAGCCCCATGCAGCAAACATCTGTTGCAACACTATGACATGTACCTTGAGCATACAATCCTGAACGGTCATAACCTTGCACTCCCGGCCACAAGATAGTGCACGAGAGCTACACCAGCGACAGGCTTCGGCGCGCCGCAATTGTTGCACACGTCCTGAGATTCTGTTGCAAGGTGGTGATTAAACAATTTATGTTCCGAGACCGCATGTATGAGGGTTTAAGTTCAGGGTTAACGGTGTGTAAGGCGAGTATCATCATTTGTATGCTATCATACACTGTAGTGTACTTGTTGACAGGCTTTAGATTTAGATCAATCGCTACTGCCCCACTATTCTTTGAGCGGTCTGGTTTCAAATTCCCATCTCCCATTTACATTCATTCAAGCCAGTTGCCTAAGAGATACAGCACACTGTAATCCACAAGGGCCGAGAGTTCCAGTCCCTTTAAAGAACCCTTAGAGTCCCAGACCTCGGCCCGACCCTGAGCCGAGAGGCACGCGTGGCCTTGTTTGGCTCCTCGCACTTTGGGCAGATCCATTTTGCCGGGGGCGCCTGTCGTGTGGCTTCAGAAAGGCCTTCGTATTAACAGCATTTGCCGCGAAAACCTGGCAGTCCAGCAGCGGTTCATTCAAGAAGGCTGAAGGCAGGTGGTAACACGTACACAAACATGACGCAAAGCACTACAATGTGTCAAGCATCGTTGTCCGTTTGAACTCGGTGACATGGTCACTGTACTGACTGCACTTGCGGGAGCAGTTCAAAACAGCAACGAAAAAACAAAACAAGCTTACGACAAAGGTCAGCATTTGGACGACATCATACGACACTCATCAAACCCAACCGCCGAGGCCACCAAGGTGGATTCCAATCTTCCTTATCACTAAACCGTTTAACTTGAGCACTATGCCTTCATGGACCCTTCGGTATGCACCGGCCTCTTGTGGAATGTCGTCTGCGGCCGTATCTGATGCCTCGACTACTTGTATGGGAATGCGCCCGGGTGCACAAGGCCAGCTATGGGCCTGGGCATGTGGTGCTCTTCCGGGCGATCAGCTCAGTTTTCTTGATTTTGATTCTGTCGTCATTTCAAGCTTACCGACAATTCTTTCACCACGGTTCATCAAACTTCCGTTGTCCGAATGTAAACCGTAAACATTAGCACGAATGCTGCACTCTCTGCTCGTAGACTTTATTGTGCGACCATACTCTGGGCCGATCTCTTGGTGACAGCCGACGACGGCCTTGTCGGGCATGGAATACTTAGAAGCAGCCTCGACAACCCGGCACTGCGCTTCACTAGCAGACTTAAGCAAGCGGTGTTGGCAATGCACTCTCTAAGCCCTTACAGGGGTGAACACAAAGCTCCATCAGTTGTGGAATGAAAACACTAGTCGCTCAAAGCATAAAACGAAAACAGCTTGGGCAGAACTGGAAGTATATACCCGCACGAACTATCAGCTCCAGAAACCGCACGCACGAGCCCCGAACTCAAAAAGTCTTCACTCCGAACCCCCCCCCCCCGTTTTGGCGCCTGAGTCTCCGAAGCAAGCTTCGTGGATGGATCTTCTCTGGCAGAGGACTCCTCCTTCGTAGGCTGTTCCTGCTGCGCGGAAGCTTCCTGCGTGTTGCAAGATCCCTCCTTCACAGAGGACCCGTCTGCTGCAACGGAGCCCTCTTTGGCAAAGGAGTTCTCCTTGCTGGAGGACTGCTCCTTAGAAGAATCCTCCGCAGCAGGGGGACCATCCTTGGAAGAGCCCTCTGATTGCTCTTTGCCAGGAGGCTCCTTGGAAGGATCTTCCTTGGAAGAGGGAGCCCCTTGCGCCGTGTCCGTCTCCTCCACAGTCTCCTCGCCTTTTCCATTCACCTCGCAAACGAAAACTGACGTTCTGGCAACTGTGGGGACTTGGAGATGTGGAAGAGATGCTTCAGTGTTGAGATTTGGATCTAGTGGGGATTGCATTTGCGATATATGGCCTCGACGACTTGAAGTTCTGGGTCTGGGTGTCGAAACCACACAAGCCCAAATAAGCGACTTCGCAGCGACACTTGATGTCACTTACTTGGGTGTGCCCGTTTGAGCATCTTCTTCAGTCTGCCGTGCGACTCGTCTATAACTGTTTGTTACTGTCTTGTTTTTTGCATTTTGCCAAACCTGCTCCAGATACTCTGGGACCGCTGTAGTCACGCACACTTCCCAACGATTCAGCAGCTTCGACATCAACCATTTATAAGCTTCGGCATCAAACCACCGGCCTCCACGCGGGGCGTGCTGGAGGCGTCCTGCAAATGGCTGATACTTGCTGGGGTTGCAACTTCTCGGCGAATGCTTGTGTCCCTGTCGGACCAAACCATAACGCGAAGAATCGGATGCGAATGATATGACACGATGAACCCAGGAGAAGGCAAGATTGCCATAGCCGAAGATGCAGATACAGAACCACTGGGCGGTCCTTTGTAGCCGCGTCTGGGATGTTATCTGCGGCCATGGCCCAAACGCTGCTCTGACTAGGGGGAAACCTGCGTGGGTTTGCGAGGCCAGTCTTTCGTAACACATGGTCTGGCAGGACAGAAGTAGTTTCGACTACTGTACCGCAGCTCTGTGGCATCACACTCCTCGGCCAAGTATGTCCTTTCATGTCGATTGCAGTCTCCTTTTCTCATACTGGCTGCTATAGCTTTTCCCGCATCCCTGGTTTCTGATTCGGCGACTTCGCAGACAGTCACCCTCAAACCTCCATATTCGGCATGTTAGCACAACGATGCTGGCCGGTTGGTTGAGCCGCTAGAAGGCGTTCTCTGCAGCTTCGGGCCACAAAGTTCGCAGAGCAGGTCGCCTTATTAGTCCAGAGCTTCGGTCGGGTGGCTCGGGATGTGTCCGGTACTTGAACCGAACCCTGTACCGCCCACAGCCCAGTACTGCAATGCAGCAATGAAAACAGATCAAGACACGGATGCCCGCGTTGCCCCAGCTGCTGCAGCTTCTGCTTGCAAATGGGCGTGACACTCGTGATGAACATGAGCACATAACACTGCGACTTGAAGTTGAATATGACAAGCTTCAACATAAGTTACGATGGTGGAAATGCAGCTGCCGACAACGACAATTGCAACACCCATTAAGGTGATTATTGTAATTATGGCAACGATACTGATGGTGATATTTTTGGGGGTGATGATGATGAACATGGAGGTGAAAGTTCGAAGAAGCAACAGACACATGTGACCTCACATGTCATGTCACAGGATAAAACTCTACGCGCTGGCTTTCGGATTGGCACTGTGCAAGAACAGCAACAGTGCAGGCAAGGATTAACATTGGCAGCAGATACGACCCGACACTAAGTTGATGCTTGGTCGGTTCGCCGACTGCGGCGAGCGTCATGCGGCCTCGCAAGGACCGGGCTTCCAGGAGGCATCTAGAGTATAGAGTTTGAAGCTATCTTTCTTTCGCTAGCCTAGAAACCGTGGCATGCACACAACTGCCCCCTGCGCTTGCTACCGCCGGATGCAATATAGGTTTGCACGAAAGATTTCTTCCGGAAGTAGCCAGGCAACACAACTTAAGGGAAAAACGAAATAAGCCTCTCGCTGTAGCTACCGCGAAGACGACTAGCTACTGCTGCTGCTTATGCCGGCTAAGGCTAAGGGCAATGCAGCGACACCCGCCAACGCGATGCATGTTTAAGATGCAAGCCTGTCTTTCCGGTCACTCCTGCTACGCAGACTAGTACAGCACTCGCAGGGCGGCGAAGGATGAGCTTCGCAGATGGTGCAAAAAAGGGAAGTAATACAGTTCAGTAATATGACACTAGAACGCATAGAACAAAACCATCATAATGACAATACTCCTGACTTGTCCTGAGTGTAGCACCTAGGCACACATAGGAACAGCAGCATGTATAGAAGTAAAAGCAACAGCCATAGCAGCCACAGCAAGCCTAGCACTGGAACTGACAACCGTGGACAACTTTGCAGTACTGTGATGCTGGTATGTGCCAGGACGTTCAGTGATGGAACTGCCGTAGTGATCCCGTTATAAGTGGCAGACCAAGCATCCTTCTGAGGCAATTTGCCATGTTGAGCCCAACAGCATCTGCTTTCGACAAAAGACCCTCATCGCCAACCAAGTCATGCAGCGACGCAAGCGTTTGGTGTCTTTTCTTGTTGCCTTCAACTGCTGGCTGGAAGGATCAGCAATTGCCGGGAAAGCAAGGTCTCGCCAAGCTTTGTATATACATATGGCATACCCCTACATGAGCAAACGTAGGACCGCACCAAGGAGCAGTTTCGGGGCTACCCACTGGGTAGATTCAGATCTTATATATCTTCGCATAGCATTCTCGTACATCGTAGGACGTTGGATTAATCAAGAAACTACGTGGAGTGGAGCTTGCATGCGATCAGCTGCGCTTCGAGCAGCTGCGAAAAGCATCGAACGGCAAGCAAACCTGTCCAGCTGCCTCACTGTGCATGAAGCTCGGAAATGAACTGAGACCCCAAATGCGACCCAAGAAAGGGCATGGCTGGCCAGGGACAAGGCACAAGGCAGGCATGGATTCCATACCCGCGCGGCCATTCCTAACTCTACTAGGCACATGCTCGCGCAAAGTCCGCGGGCTGTGCTGCAAAATGGGGGCGGCCTCTGGAGACTCTAGAACCTGGACCATGCAACTCATTCGGGCACATGTCTATATTTTGCCCCGTACTGTACTAGCTCGTGAAATTTCGCCAACATTGGCCGAGAGAGATCTGCAACCAAATGCAACCCCGCAGCATCGCCAGTTGGCGCATCCATCAAAGCCGGCACGTGGGCCTGCACACTCTGCATGGAATGCCGGGCCCTTTACGAATCAACACTCAACGCAAACCGGTGCTTGCAGCTGTGGATTGACGGCCAGATTGTGATTCTACGTGCAGCTCGGACACGACAATTGCTTGTGAGTCGCACCACGCAAAAAGCGTTCTCAAGATGAAGCCCACCGATTCCAGGATGTCATCTGTAGACTCACCTACCACACCTATACCTGGCCTGCCGACGCAGAGCTTTATTTGGAGAACACGGGACCCTGAACCCCAAAATCTCACCTTTAAAGCAAGCTTCAACCCTGAAGGCTGTCTAGCGTATCATTGTCTGATTCACTGTGAGCCGAACCACCGTTCATCTGATATTTTCCTTGCCTTATAATCTATCCAGCTTCTTCCCCGTGGTGCGAGTAATACAGAGCTTGGTGCTTGTTTCGAGAATTTGAAACCCAGGAGCCGGACCTAGGCCTGGGAAGCCATGGAGGCCATGATGTCCTGGAGCACAGGGCAGGCACGGATTTCGGGGGTCCTTTTCTCGTGGCTGCATTGCTAGGAATCCCCTGTCTCCTCAAAGCCTAGCTAACTAGCATCTTGAGCTGGGTTCAGGTTTCGGAGTTGGGGTTAGAGATCTCTGGCTTTCGGGGCTTCGGTCTTCCCCTCCTTGTGACATCTGGGCTCAGGAATGAGGCTTTAAGGGAAGCGTCAAGGCTTCCGGCGATGTGCTTGCTCGAGGTTGCCGAGTGCTTTGCAGCAGTCGGACTACTTGGTCTCAAAGGCACACATTAAGACGGACACGGGTGTAGCAGTGTAGCTGGTATGAGTTGCAGAATTGTCTTCTGGTTGCATCCTACCCGAAGCCATGGAGATCTGGAGATCGTTTAGCATGAGGAAAACAAGTTTGCCGTCTGTGCTCGTCGGCTTCGTGCTGCGTGCAACATGCACCAACTCTACATCTGCACTCCTGAAGGACGCTTTGGAGCTGGTCATCGCCTCCGCGAGTGACTCGCCTCGGCTGGATGATCTTGATCTAACGCACTGCCAAGTCCCAGGCTGAGGGTGGAGGTTCGGGTCGTGACCGTGTGGATGAACCCACCGTCAGAAACGCGACATCCCAAAACCACAGCGATGGGCATCTTAGTCAACAACGTCTCGACCGAGCTTCTCGAACAAGCGTACTGAACTAGCAAGCTTTGGAGCATCGAACTGGCCCATCAGAGACGGAACACCTGGGCGAGCATCCGTTTCGGGTGACTTATAAAGCTTACGCTTAGCTTAGCGGTTCGGTGCAGCTTAAGCCAACACCGCCATCGGAAGTGGGCAAGAAGCTGCAAGGTCAGACTGGCTGGGCTCTACATTTGCAATGCTGCCGTTCGATGGTCGTCCTTACAAAAGAAGCTTGCATGGAGCACCACTACCTTCATGCTTAGCGATGTTCCTAGGATCATGACAAAGTAAAATGGTACAGTGATGCCAGCAGCCAAAACCGAAAGGACGCACGGGCTTGAACCTAGGAGGCTTCAGGCGCCGAACCGCCTAACCCATCAAAAGATTGTCAGGCTCCTACAGGAGATAATGTTGATCGTGCGATCTTGGAAGGAAATTCCCCAGAGGTCAACCTCCACAGATGAATTCATTTGCGTTACCTAAACATTTTTCCGTGCTTTACCATGGCCTCGCTTGGGTTCCACCACCCGTCACTGGTGAACCCGACATTTGTAACGCTAGTCTGTCAGAGGCGAAGGTTTTGGACAACCACCTGCTTGGGTTGCCATTGTGCCATTGTCTTGCGAGCCCTTGCTTTTGCTCGCTGAAAGGTAAAAGTCTTAAAGACGGGAGCCTCAAACCCCTACACATGCACGCAAAGGCCGTCTATCAAGGCCCGGACACTTTTTTTTTGAGCAGGCACTGCAATGCACAAAGGCCCTGAATTCATTATAGGCTCTGAGGCGAAACCTGAAAATCCTTAAGCTTGATCCTTAAGCTTAAGCTGCAAACAAGGAGAAGCCAAGCCGCTTTTCCCAGCCCTCAGTTGATCTCGCACAGCGGTCATCATGGCGAGATAGTTCTGGCGCAAGTTTACCTGGAAAAAACAGCAGCTGTCTGACTTTTCTTGTGGTTGTATGCAAATGACAACATAGACAACTATGAGCCAGGAACTTTAAAGTGCGAACTTAAATATACTATCACCCCCTGCCCCACACGCGCCGAAATTTATCGTAACTGCGCACGCCACGTCCCGATTCACTGATACAACTACCCACCGAAAAGGTCCAAGACCGCTGTATCTGTGACACCAAACAACCACTCAAGCAGTGGATCAGGCTTGCTATGATGAGGCTAGCTATTCAATTCATTTCAACGCCTCATCTGCCCACATGCAAACCAGGTGCACCATCGTTCTCGTAGGCCAAATATGCCCTTGCCTCATGCAAAACAAAACTTGCAAGGCCGGCCGGGCATCGTCCGATTCAACACGTACCATAAACTGTTCTGGATCAAATGCGGTAGCTCCCAAACACACACACACAGAGACGCACACAAACGCAGACACAGACACACACACACAGACACACACAGACACACACAGAGACACACAGACACACAGACACACACACACAGACAGAGACACAGACACAGACACAGACACAGACACAGACACAGACAGAGACAGAGACAGAGACAGAGACAGAGACAGAGACAGAGACAGAGACAGAGACAGAGACAGACACACACACACACACACACACCCCCGCGCGCGCACATGCTCTCCCACAATTTGCCATTGGGCAGGAAATCTGCCGCTGTCACCCACCAGTGCGGGTGCAGAAAAGACTGCACAAGCAAGAAGGTAGAAGGCAAAGACCAACTTTGAACGTCAGCATGAGGATCCGGCAGTTCCCGTGAAGTTGCTACACACTGCAGAGTTGCTCGGGACCGCCTAGCAGAGGAGTGACGATGCCCGGAGGAAACCGAAAGTCCCCGAACCGGAGCGGGCCTCCTCATCCGACCTTCAAGGGCACATGCAGTGAGGATGCAGGGGAAGCCAAGCGATTACATGGCAAGTCCGCTTTCTGTGCAAGCCCGTATATTTGGAAGGAATCGGTCAGCTACTGGTCGCACAACATGTCCTGAGGTGGGGTGGGACTGTACCATGCAACCAGTTTGACAAACTTTGGAACGGCTCTAGGGCTTGGGCTTTGAGGTACATCATACTACTGGCCCAGGATCGTGGGAGTTCTGAGCACGCCTGGATCTTGCTACAGGCTGATGCCAGCCAGCACTTTAGAAAGCCAATAAGGTAGCAATAATGGTGCTGATATGATAACAACAACCATCATCACCTTCATCATCTTTGGTATCGTCGTAGTAGAAACCCCGAGGGCGCACCTCAGGGCAAACCTCCGGTTCACCGAGCTCCCCTTCTCGACGCCGTGCACGACATGGGGAGGCGTCGGGATCACAAACCTGGTCGGATTTAGGACGAAGTGCCATCACACCCGTTCTTTTGATTGATGCCTTGAAGGTGGTTTGCCCCAACCTGCTTTCGGCGTGGCTTTCCGAAACAAGGCGCTTACGTCTATATGGAAGTGCTCGCCACGTCCACAACCGCATGATTCGGTGGGGAGCTGCCCTGCCGTCGGTTTGGTGTGGGACCTGCTACTGATACATAAACCGAAAGTTCCATCAAACGCAAACCAAGCAAGAGACTGTGGGGATGGAGCTGTGGGCTGGCTTTCTTGCACTCGTCTTACACCGGCTTCTCAAACAAGGCCCTCGAACAAAGGGATAAAAGAAGGGAACGATTCAACATAAAGGCTGGGATAAAAGGACTTGTCCATTAACGCCATAAACGAAGACTTCAAGAACGCCTGGTGGTCTAAGCTCCGCATGTCTTGATTGTTCAACGACTTGAGCAACTGAATATCGACACCCATGGTGTGTATACGAAGTATACTGTATGTATATATTTGCTGGTATCATTTGCATAACAGAGAGAAGAGGTCGCTTCTGCCCGTACACAGACACGAGCATAGATGGTGGTTTGGCCAAAGCCGCCACATCCAGCAGCTGCTCTTTCTGCCAGCACGAATCTCGCCAAGCGCTTTGGCAAAGGTGTCCTTCCTTGGACGGACAAGGCACTTCTACTTCGCCACTTTCAGATCTGGCATCCAGATTTCAGAACTCGTGCGACCGAGGGTTTTGAGCCCAGTAGTGTCCAGAGTTCTACGAGGTCCACCGGAGGCAGGGTTCCAGATGGAAAGGCACACAAATGGAACCAGATGGAAGTGTTTTTGCCACAGGTGCATTAAACAGCCTTTCGAAGACAGGATCCTCGTTTGGAAGGCTCCCACCCCATCTCAGCACGGTTTGACATTACATGCACCGAACATTGAGCTTTTTGACTTGTCGTTCTAGGACTGATGGGGCCCAAGAGGAGGGCCCGACCTCCAACAAAATCCTAAAAGGACATCCGCCAGGGTTCTGCGCCTCTGTAAAGCGATGAAGTGCAAATCGCTTCTGCGATGGAGTGGTTACCTTCCATCGGGGGAGTGCAGGCAAGAAGGCTTACGGATTATGCCTTTCGTGGCCAGGTGTTTGAGTGCCCGCTGCATTAACATATTTCCATATCATGATTTTACACAGCGGCGCGACTAATTCGGCTGCCTCAAATGCGATCACCACCATTGTTTTCCTTTGGGAGCTCTTCTTGCGGTAGCATGGCTTGTGCTAGAGAATGAGGGGCCGTCCCCATATGATGAGGTTCAGCGGAGGCTCCTGTTTGAAGGTTGACGCCTTTCAAGCGTCCTAAGGCTTCGGAGACAAGAAGCACAAGGACAGTGCAACGTTGCCTTTCGAAACCCTGACTCCGGCAAAAGCATTGCCAACTCCAAGCCCTGAGCCCTGAAGCTCTGCAGAGGCACTGGTGTGGCGGACAAAGACACTGGATTTGAGCCGAGGTCCTTCGGAACAGCAGGGCAAAGAACATGGTGAGCTGCAACTTCGGAGGAGATTACAGTTCACAAACAGCTTTTGGGAACCGTGGGTTCAGGAGATGCTTAGTGCTCTTAGTGTTGGTGACGTTGGGTGTCCAGGTTTAGAAGATTTTCGACTTCGGCTTGGTTTGGGCTTTAAGGTACATCTGGGATGACGCAAGGTGCTGAGGTTTCCATCGGATCTTCTGTTGCCTGTGCTTCCCGAGCATGTCGGTCTGGTTGGGCGCAGGTTGCAAGTGGGGGTTCGAATATTCAGCGTCACTTCGCATTTGCTCTCCTCCGAATTAATGTGGCTAGTCGTGTGATGTCCTGTGTTTCTTTTGATTACTGCCATTGTGGGATAGGCCGATCATTCAGTTTTATTGCTAATTACTCGGCTCATCAGACCCATCCGTAAACTGCCTACTGCATGTAACGTACTAGCCTCACCGGACTCTTATGGTGGCACGCCTCACGTTGAATCCGTGCCATCGGGATACAAGGCAGAACCCGAACCACTGCACAAAGTTGCATGCAAGCCCAGAGAAGGCTCTGCCCTGTCAGCCCGCTGCCTTGGAAGGTTGGTTCAGTGCGGAGAAGCGTCGGCTGGTGCCTCTGCTGCACTCCAGTTCGGCCATGTCGTGTCTCGCATGCAGGACACGCTTTTGCACGTTTGCGTTGGCATATGCTGCACTGCGGCACAGATGCTACACACAGCTGAAGGCAAGTTCTCATCACCCCGTGCTTCAGCCTCCCGGCCTTCTTCAGACACATATTATACCAAGTGGCTGACTGCGGCTAGAGAGCCAGTCATGCTTCAGGAAGGAGGGCGTTGCAAGTTGTGATCACGGATACAAACCGCATAAGCCACAGAAGGCCATGTCTACCCTGCCCTGCTTGCCCAAGGTACCTTGCCGGGGCTGCAGACTAGGTCTCCTGCTGCTACGGCGCACCTCAAGAGTCTCTGGCATGTCCTTGGCTGCTAGTGGGATCTCTGTTTACAGGGATAGCAATTGAAAATTCCTAACGTCCTAACGTCTGATCCAGATGCTTTCAAGTCTCAACCTTTTCGCCGCGGTCGCCCAGCACCGGAGAATAGGCCACCCCATCCGGAGACTTCGAGCGACAGCGTCGAGGGGACATGAGCCTCACCGCCGCTTCACGAAGGTTCTCCGGGACTGAGTGCTGTCTGGGAATTTGCGGGTCACGTCCACGTGTTGCAGAGACGGAGGGCTTGTGCAAGGTCACCGACGCCATCTTTGGGGTGGGTCGATCGGTGCTCGTCTTCTCCAAGCTGGCTGCGGACTGAGACTTCTTCATGGACGCGCCCGCCGGGCTGCTGGGAGGGTGCAAGGATGAGCTCTTCTGGAGGGGTGTCTTCCCCTGGCGCGGTTGGCAAGGCTGGTCCGCTGAAGCCCGCTGCTTTCTTGCCTGCAAAGCAAGAGGACAGTGGGGGCCGGCTGCTTCTTCCTTGTGAACTACGACAGCTGGCTTCTATGTCACGGACGGGAAGCGGGAAGTGCCACCGCCGCCACTGCCACTGCCA